TTTGATTAAAAAAAAAAAAAAAAAACATGAATCTGGCCTACACTTGAGAGTTAGTTGAGGACTTGAATTAAATAATAAATGCAGCCTCTCTAAAAGTTTAAAATTTTAAATAGAATAGTTTATATGTGTGTGTGTGCGCGCGCGCGCGCAGTACCTTGCAGAATTGTAAATTGTTTTAGACGAATTTATCAATGTAGAGGAAAAGTGACTGAGAGTCGCATATAAAGGTTTTCAATACAAGTCTTGTAGCCAACCATTTAAAAAAAATAATAAAAAAAAATAAACACTATGCACATATTATAGCTTTGATAAGAAAAATGAATCTAACCTATGAGATTTAGTTGAGGACTTGAATTAAATAATAAATGCGATCTCTCTCTAAAATTTAATATTTTAAATAGAATAGTTTAACATATATATGTACAGTACCTTGTACCATTTGATCTCCCATTGCATCTGCAGAGCAGCACCGGGAATAACCCACGGTAGGAGTTCTCCAACCATTGCAGCAAGGTGCAGAATGGTGTTTCCTTGATCATCGAATTGGTGAAACACGAAATCTGGGAGCTTATTCTCCACCAAATAATTAAAAACAGTGGTTTGCCTATTTTCAGCGGCCAACATCAACACATTCTTCCCGCTAGAATCCAGGTCTTGGATGGCTACTGGAAATGTGTCCAGGATTTTCTGTACCATTTCGAGAATTCCCATCTTCGCTGCTACTAGTATTGGAGTCTCCATTTTCTCTGTTCCAATTGATCCCACATAATTGTTTGCAAATTCCTAACTAATAAATAAAAAAGTGTTCTTATGTATAGCAATACAATTCTACAAGTCAAAAATATTTACCTGGTCCCTTTTTTTTTGCATCTTTCTGTTTCTCATTCTGACTTTGTAGTTGATCAGTTAGCGAACTTCTCCCGCCATTGGTTTCAAGGTTCAGATGGACAACTTGCTGATCATCGGTTAGAGGCGGAGTAGATGGAGGCAGGACTCTTCCTGAATACTGGTGTTCCAGGTTTCCAGGTATTTGTCCATTATTTTGGTACTTATAATTTGACTCGGACTTAATCATTTCATTCATAAGTTGAAATGCATGTGAGTGTCTTTCTTTTTTTACTTGAATTCTCTTTATACTCCAAAATCCTACAATCATCAGCAAGGTTAATGTAGATGTATTGCAGTAACTAAAATAAAAGGATGGATCAAACCCCAAATTTTATTATTATTATTATTATTATTTTGGGGGGGGGGGGGGGGGGGTTTGGTTTTTCAATCTGGTGGTGGTTTTCGTTGGAGGTGCAGGTGGGGTGGTGGCGGTGGCGGTCGACGATCGTGATAGTGGTACGGTGGATCTAGGCACGATACAGGTGGTGGTTGGCAAGTTTGGTGACTGGCTCGTGTGATTTGTTTGTGGCGGTATGTGCGGTGGTGTTACTGGTGCGGTATGGTGGTGGTGGCGGCGGCAGCGGTGGTGATCGGTGGTCGCGAGGCAGTAGTGATTGTATTGATTTTGGTTGGCCAAGGGTGGGGGTGTCCATGAACAATTCCCCGTCTGTGACCAACTATTTGGGCGTTTGTCACCAATTATTTGGTTGATTTGTGACAAAAAATTAGGTGTCTGTGACTACAAAATAATTTGTGATCAATAAACTGTGATATGTGACCCATAAATAAAATGTGACCTGTAATTTGAATGATTTGTGACCTCGAAGTGTCCAGAATTAAAGATTCAAGAAAGAGGCTTAGAAATCTTAAATTAGTGTATACAAAAATACCAAAATTTAAGATTTATAGAGACTAGGATTAAATTACTTAAACGAAAAATAAAATATCTCGAATTATAAATCAAGGTTTCACCCACCAAACTTGATTCATAATAACTCCAAGAAAATATCGTTACCTGAAAAATGTAATTTTTTAAACATCACAAGACAAATGGCTTGACATATACATGATGCATAAACAATATACTCCACTTTAGAACTTTAAAGCATGACTATGTTTTTCTTCCTCGAGAAACCATGTAAAAGTTGTATTTTAAATAAAGAAATTACTGCCACTATAACCAACAAATGAATGGAATAAAACATCATATAGCTAATGGTAGCCTGACGTGTAACTTCAGATAAAATATTCGGTTTTGTATGTGTCAAATACATCAAACTTCTAACTAGACTCGTAAAAAATTGAACCAACTTTCTCACCTTCATCAAATTTTAATAAATTTATTCCCCAAAATGTGAAGATAGAAACTGGTTTTCAATCATCCATCTTGAACTTCTCAAGAATTTTCATAGCATAGCCTCTTGAGAATAATTTCCTTATTAATAATTAAGATATTGATTACAGATTACTTAAATGTTAACAGCCCATATTTCAAACTCGTGAAGTCATTTATGTTCTACGTGCTTGCATATTGAACTAAGAAAACTTTCCATGGATTTTTTTTATGGTTTTGTGAACATAAATTTTGATGCTTCCTTCTCCATATAGAAGATGAACGCTCTCATAATTTATTTTCAATGTCTTCTTTATTATATACTGGTTATAGGGAGGTCTAAAGGTTTTTTTTTTCTTTTTCATGGTTCCTTTTGATCTCTCGTATCTATTCTCCATTAAAGATCTTGGTCCTCTAAACTTTTTTCAGGGGTCAAAGTTTTTCTTCCAACTCAAGGACTTTCCTTGTCACAATAAAGCATACACAAGATTTGCTCTAATTCCACAAACAGTCTAGTGTTAATTTTGTTGAAGATATGGAAATAATTCCTCAAACAGTCCAGCCAATTCGGCCTTGTACTTTTCGATTCTTGATCGAGTCAGACCGATTCCCTAGGTTTTCAACAGCGCTGAATTCGATTCTGGTCTATTTTATTCTCAATTTCTCAATGCACGGTGAATTTTTGGTAATATGCAGCAATTGCTACTCATGTAACAGTTTGAAGGTTGGAGATTATGTGGTTGGTTGGCCTTATTAGCCTTTTTAGTGGTCTATTACGCCTTGTTAGTCTTTCCCACTGCTTTCCATGGCTTTTGCATGCGTCATTTGAGCAAAAGCTTTCGTAAGGAATTCAACAATACAATGCTCGTCAACCTTTTGTGGGATGCTGCCCATGCTCTTACTGTCATGGATTTTGAAGCAAAAGTCATAGAGATTGAAGAGATATCTCAAGACGCTGCATACTGGATTAGGTGAATCCCCTCTCGTTTATGGGCTACTGCCTATTTTGAGGGGAGAAGGTTTGGACATTTGACGGCCAATATAGTAGAATCTCTGAATGCTTGGATTTTAGAAGCCTCCGGTCTTCCAATAATTCAGATGATGGAATGCATTCGAAGGCAGCTCATGACTTGGTTCAATGAACGTCGTGAGACTAGCATACAGTGGACATCTATTCTCGTGCCTACAGCTGAGAGGCATGTCACAGAGGCTCTTGAGCGTGCACGTACCTACCAGGTTCTTCGTGCTAATGAAGCTGAATTTGAGGTAATATCTCACGAGGGGACAAACATTGTTGATATCCGAAATCGTGTACCTGGGTTCCTATTTGATGAGTTTTCCCCTCTTCATCTTTGCATGGAATACCAATAGAACCTATGGATTTTCGGAGTCATACTATTTAACATGGCCTATCCTTAACATGTCTATTTATTAAAACTATTTGAGGTTCTTGTTTTGGCCTTGTTCGTTATACTTGTGGGTGTCTCCTTCAAGTTCCTGTAATAATTCGTGTAGGATTGGTAGATGATGATTTTCTTTCTCGCCAATTTTGAACTGCTTGGTTGGCTAAGTCGGCAAGTATTGTTCAAGTAATTCCGGTGAATCCTTTTGGTCTTGGCTGAGACTATTTGCTCGGATTAATTAATTTTCAAACTCAATTTGGTTTCTATATCACCATATTTAGTTTGAGGGGACAATGAACATATAGAAAGATTCTTCATGACACTTTTTTTAATTGTATGAGATTAGTTTCTTTAATAGTTGATTATGTGATTATTACACAACATTTCCTTTTAGAGTTACTGTTACACAAGTTGTACATACAATTTATAATTCTAACGAATCTACTACAGCAATGTCTATCACATGAAACTCCTATTGCATTATAGTTCCCTAAAAATAATCCAAAAGAATTCTGAAGTTTCATTGCCTATTGTCGTTCAGGCATAGCCTTTCCCGTAAACACGCTAACGCAATATATGCACGCACCTACCCTAACAGACCACTCTATGAGAATCAATCATTCCGTCGACATGTTTTCTCAGATGCCGGCTGGACAGGAAACAAAGTTGACAGTACCTTTATCACTGCTTGCGTTGTTTATCTTTTTAACTATCTCATTCTCGCTGAATATCTCCATGTATTACCATTTTGTTAGAGACAAAGTGGCTAAAGGACAACTAAGTATATCCTCCTATGCATCTAATCATTACTGGCTTATTAATGGAGTCCCCATATCTCTAATCAGTTTACTTTCCCAAGCTGCAAGATTGGCGCGAATATCAAATCAATAGAGTTCGTATATTCTCAGCTACTGGGCAAGAAAATCATATTAGTGCAAACCATATCATTTTCATTATCTATTGGGTAAGAAAATTATATCTATGTAAATTAAATTGAGCATCTAAAGTTTTGTACTGGAATTTGTAAATTATTGTAATTGGTTAACTTCTATTAGGTTTAGCAACCTCTTTGTGTGCATGTTCTCAGCCAAATATATGTATCAAGCAAATCAAAATTTATTGTTGCTCTCTTAATCCACTTTGTGTGATCATCTTTGATCTTCTTAAGTTAAACCTCAAGTAGTACAATTTTTGTCCAGTCTGAAGCATCTACGTTCTAAATTGAATGTTTCTTCAAGTACAAATTATTATTTAAAACCACATTAATTAGAAAACTGTGCAAGAAAATCATACGTACTTTGAGGATTCTTCTCTCTTTTGGGGGGATTCTCTTCATCGGATGAACTGCCACGTTGATTTCCGAGACCAGCTGGAAAGAAAAAAGCAACACCGTAAGAAATATAAAAAGTTAGCCTAGAGAAAGAGGGAAATATGGTTCATCCTGTTTACCTTTGATACTCTCGTAAATTGGAGTGACAAAAAGTAGGAAGATGTCCCTACATGTCTTGTAGTTCTGTGGACAGTTGACACCATTTGTGGAGCTGTACATACTTTTATGGGGGTGAAGCTGGGGGCCACGCTTCTTTTTAAGCTTTTCAATGAATAAACCTTACCCAAAATAACAGTTCTGTTTTAGCATCACTTAATAGAAGAAATATATCATAGAGGAAGTTTGAATTCTCTATTAATAAATATAACTAATTTGGCTGATGTGAACAAATTAGTCATTTACTAAATTACATAAATAACTCTAAATCATAAGCTAGTCATAATAATGAGAATCTTATTGCAAATATATGATATTGAGTCAGTTAAAAGATTTCTCACAGCTGTAGATAATAGAGTAAGGGAATCGAAAATGAGTGCCGCTTCTAAACACACTAGGCTTTCTGGCAAGAACATGGAGAGGAGATTCACCCTCCACATTAACAGAGTTTACCAGCTTTGGGTAATAGCTGATTATCCGGTAAGCCAATTCTGTTGCAAAAAATATATATGTAATTTTGCCCCTTTCTCGTATATATAAATACATGGGACATGTTTGATATACCGTATTGGACACAAATGCTACAAGCTTTGTTGCATCTGTGTCTTCTGAAGTCTTGTTCACTTCTCTATAATCCAGTATACCAAACCCATCTATGCATGTTTGAATGTGAAGAAAGTTGTAAAGAATAATTTCTTACTGAAATATTCTGCAGAAATAGCCGAGTGTAAAATTGTATTCCCATCTTCCCTTCTACAAAGCGATTCGTCTGGTTCTTGTCCAATGTTTTGCTGATTCGGGTCTTGCACTTGCTCTTTGTTGTAGTAATCATGGAGGAAAATAAAAGAATCCAACTTTCCATGATAAGCTGCCACAAACAATGGGGTCTCACCCTTTAAATTGCGAGTGCTAATGAGTTCACGATCCCTTGAAGCTATGCACTTGCAGATACTTAGCCATCCAACTGCTGCTGCGAGATGGAGAGGAGTGTCTCCTTTAACATTCTTCATTGATAATGTCTCGAATGCATCTTCGTCAGGTATGGATTTGATCATTTCCTCAATACGTTTTTCACAATCAGAGCTATGTAATTCAGAGTGGTAACTGGAGATGGCTACATGTAAAGCTGTCTCTTCTGATTGAGTGAGCTTAGCTATGCGAGTGGAGGGACATTCCTTGTAAGCCGTCCCAACTTTGTTCCACTTCTTTTTCATGGTGGGGTCAAACAGATCGTCTAAAGAAATCTCTTCTTCTATTGGGGTTTCTTTGATTTTTGGTGCCATTTGCTATATCAAATTAAAAGAATTTCTGCCAACTGTTAATAATGTGTGAGGATGTCTTCCATCCAACTCTATTTATAAGAAACCTTTCAAATATTTTACTCGTCACTTCCGTAACAAGCTTCTCCATTGAAAGAACGGATTTGCAGCCATCTATAGTATCCCTCCATCTTTAATATCACGAGATGATGTGTTATTGGCTACAGATTGTACAAAACACAAAGCTTATTAAAGTCGTTGCAGACAAAATTTAGATGAACATTTTCTTCTTTAATAACTTGAGCTTTTAGATGCGGTATTGTTCAATATGGCACAAGAGTAGGTATAAGAATAGAAGAGCAATGTGTGCTTGCTTGGTGAATCATTTAAGAGCTTATAAGCAGTGTTTCAAGGAATGTGTTGTTAAAAAATTATAAAAATTGTGAGTCTCATGGCATGTGTGAATAAAAAATAGAGTTTGACTGGCTTGTAAGTAATTATTTGAAATATTAAACTTTTAGATAACGTTCATATTTTACGTGCTTTTAAGCAGTGTCTCAAAGAATTTATGATTAAAAAGTTAATAAAAGTTGTGCATTCTACGAAGTGTGTGAATAAAGAAAATAGAGTTCGACCAGCTTATAAGTAATTATTTGATGTCTTAAGCTTTTAGATAATTTTGTTTAACTTTGATAATCAATGATGACTTGATTCAGAAATAACATAGATGCTTTACTTGCTCTTAAATTCTTCATTTTATGAGAAGTCCTAGAAATCTTTATAATATGTAATTCTCTATGAATCAAATCATATGCTTAAGATATAAACATCAAAAGTTGATTCTTGTTAAAGAGCTATCAGTTACAAACATCTTACTTGTCAACCGGCTTTTATTATCAATACTGGAAAAAGATTTTATGGAAATTTCAATAATAAATATGTCTTTCTTTAAAAGCTTAAGTTTTTAGATGAAATTATTTACTCGGTATCTTAGCTAGATAAAGATTTGAATTCGAACACTTATTTTATAACGTGCCAGGCCTTTAAACGAATCCAAATTATATGTGAACATATTGAACACAACATTTAAATATATAAATATGTTGTGTCTCTATCAACTTAACGTTTTAAATAAAATAATATGTAAAAATATCATGAGAAATTGAACCACTTCTCTGTGACTACCAAGTTTACTCTCTAAATATAGTTAATATTTCTCACTAAAGTTATTCTTTGCGTCCTTAATATTGCCTAATTTGTGTCAATCTTTAATCCTCGCTTTATTCCACTAAAGAAATCATTTATTATTAAAAAGAAAGAGAACAAGGGTCTTCCCATATATTCTTCCTTCGCAAGTAATGAATTTTATGTTCACATTGTTCCACAATTGGCCAGTCTTAAAACGTTGCTGTTTTATATTCAGTCAATGAAGCAAGAATTTGGTCCCTTTTTTATTTTTTATTCTTTTTCTTGTTCCCTTCTTTTCTTGAGAGAAAAGGAAACTGGGACTATTATTTTATTATTTTCCATGTGAGCTTTTTTAATAGTCTCATAATTTTGATAAGTGAAAACGTTAACTTTCAAAAGTTGGGAGTAATTTTATAAATACTTATGTGTCTTTGGTTATTTAGGAAAAAACTCAAAATTAGACAAGAACAGATGAAAGTGAGCAATAATTGATTAAAAAAAAAAAGGAAGTAAAGTTGGACATATTTTGGAAGTTGGGGACCGAGAAGTCATGTTTAGAAGTTGAAGGATATCAATTGCTATATGTGAGGACTCAATTTGGATTAAAAGAAAAATTGAGATCAAATTGTACAAGGAAAGACTAAGCTCCCATTTGGTAACAATTTTTCACCCCAAAATATAAATTTTTCGACCATTATTTCACTATTTCAGCCGTCATTTTTTACTTTTTCACTTACAGGTGAGACCAATTTTTCTCTTTAATGATAAAAAAATCAAATCATATAATCACTACTGGACGAGCCCTAAATTTCAACAATTTAAGATATACTAATTTAACTAAAATTACGATTCCCAATCCCTTTTGAAACTCTATTTTAGACATAATTTAGGTCTATAAATAGGGATCTTATATTCAATTAAAAAGGATACGATGGTGATACAATCTTAAGGCGAAATGATACTTTCAAATATATTTAATCCTCGAGATTTATATTTCAATTTAGGATTTCAAGGTCGAAGAATGCCATTTTTCGAGAGATTTACAATCATCCAAAAAGAGCTTCAAGAACCATTGTTGAATGCCGAAGAATAATTGCTTGGATTATTTTCTTCCTTTATTTAATGAAATTATTTTTCTAATCCTTTTGTTACTTAATTTCAGTAATATGATTGGCTAAACAATTGGTTGTCAGGAGAATGATATAGCTTAGGTAAATATTTTTTAATTCAATTGATTTTATACAACATTGATTATACGTTGATTGCTTATTGTCTTTTAATTATATTCATTTGCCTGATCATCAATTGTTTGATTTAAGAACAATATTGAGATTGAGTGGAGAATTATTTCTCTAGCTATACAATAAATGACAAATGTGTTATAAGAGATCAAGAAATGTTTATAGGCTACGAAATCATGATTGAATTCCTAAAATTAAATGCTTTTACATACATATAATTTTGCATAGAGATATGGCAAATTAACACATGAGATTATGGCTAGTTTTTGCTCTGAAGAGAGTACTAACTAATATCAGTTAATCCAATTACTAATATATATGAACAATTTGTTGAATGAATATGAATAGCCTAGTTGAAATCGAAATTTCTAACTACTTAATCCCATAAGTTTTCACAAATTAGGTTAATTAAATTAATTTAGATTATGTTAGTATAAATTAGTTAGAATTAAAAAATAATAATAATAAAACTATTGATTTTGTTAGCCCTATTTGGTGCCCATTATCTCACAAATAAATAAATAAATAATAACAATAATATTAATAAATAAATAATAAAAAAGAAGTTTTGAATAGTATTTTTAGGAGAATGTATAATTAAAAAGTAGAGAAAAATTTTTAATTTATGTACAGAATATTTTATTGCATGAATTTATGGTTGAAAATGATTCTGTAGTAAAAAATATTTTAAAATAATGGGTACCAAATAGGGACTTAATAGTTTACCACATTAATTTAGACTGGAGCTAGATTAGGATGAAAATGGGTAGTAATTATTAGTAGTCTCTATGGGAATGAAATCTGGACTCGTAGATGGAATTCATTACTTCCCACTAGTCGTACATTTGCAAAATCAATCGAACACATTCCAAGGTTCTTGGTTTAATTTTATCAATGACTACTGAAATCTACACTAAATTTCACTTTAACCACAAAACTTGAAGTTATTCCATTTACATCACTGAAGCACTAAAAATTGTTTGAAGGCCACGAACCACACCACGCTTTAGTTTGCTGTCCATTTTTAAAGTTTACTGATGTAAATAATATTTTTGAAGTTTAATATTTGGATTATCCATGTGAGATTGTATTCCATTGTGTTAGAACTTAGCCCTTCTAAATCTTTGGTTGACAATTGAATTTGATTGTATAGTGGATTGGTGATCAAGCCTTCTGAACATAGAAGTCACATCTCCCTTGCAAAACACCAACTCCACCTTAATTGACTTAACCGTTGCTATCCAACCTTGTGATATAAGTTTGGGAGTACTGAATGAGCTGACTAAGGGTTAGACAATTAATGGTTTGAGTTTGGTATGTGAAATACTAAATAGAACTATCTATAGTGAAGAAGTTTATATTGGGCAATGACCGTTGCCTAACATTCTAATCCCTATAGCATTAAAAAAGAAGACATTACACTGGTCGTGGCAGTCCGTTAAATTATTGTTATTTTTGTTTTAAAAAAAATAAAAATAAAAAATACAGTCTATGAAATAAGTGTTCCTATTGTGAAATGTATTATACGATTTTTGTCCCTTGACATCACCCATGTGCAAGACGAGCACTCAAGGAAGAAGGAGTCTGTTTGGGAAGCTCCCATCATGGTCTATCTTTTCTTTTTATTATTATTTTTGCATTTTCCTTTTTTTTTTTTTTTTTTTTTTTTTTATATGTATAGAGATATAGTGAATGAAACAGGAAACGCAATTCTGAGCCCGACTAACGGACTAAGTCTTGGACGAAAGATTTAGATTGTAAAAAACTTGACTATCCTGGTGAGAATTTTGGAGCTAGAATCAAGACCATTAGAAAATCAAAATTAGCAATAACAAGCCACTAGCTCTCTTGCTTGTCATTCCATAGTTCATATACTTGTGATCGGCACCCTTGTAAAAAGTAAGCTACAATAGGACCTCTTGTGGATTGTGGTATTCAATTATTTAAGCTTGATTATTAACCTTGGCTATTTGACCATATTCAAATGTCGATCAAAGACTAGAGAGGTCTAGGTGCACATACGAAGAAGATCAACCGTTGATAAGTATAAAAATCTTTAATGAAGATTTATTTGATTTTTTTTCTATTTAATTTTATACATAATTTTTTTTTTATTATGACACAATCAAAAGCATGGCAATGTACCGAGTTGCATTTCCTTAGCATTCTCCCTTCTGTAGTTTAATTTTGCTTTGTTCAATGGCGAAGAAAAATTTAAATTTTGAAGTGTTATTAACTAATGCACTTATCTTGACTATTAAACAAGCTAATTTGTTAATATTTCCGTGTGTTTTGATTTGATTATTATTGATTTTTGCTCATTTTATGATTTAAAACTCCTCGAATTGGAGCAACAATATTGGCAGAATCGGCAAGAAAATGAGGTTTGGGAGTGAGGATTGGGATCTGAGCATTTGAGGATGAGAAGGAAAAAAAAACAAGAGGAGACCAGATGCTTTGAAGTGCTAAAGAAGAGTGGAGTGAAGGACCAAACAAGCGAAATAAGAATCTAATGAATACACTAGGTATGGGAAAATAAAGCACAAAGTTTTCTACAAATATCTTTGCAAGTGAAATGATATACCATGAAAAATATTTCTTAAGAATGATTCTTCTAAGTTTTCTTTGGTTTTATATTCTTGAAATGTGTTTCTTAAAATCTCCTAGATTCTCCTACTCTTTCACTATGAGCCAAACTAGCATTATATTGGAATGATTGAT